AAGAGTGTATTCCTTTATAGTTGCACAGAAAGCATACTTTCTGTGAGAGAAAAGGAAATAGAAACATTACTTCAAGGTGCAACATTGGGTTTTTTTCATTATTATTTCTTTTTCCTTTCAGTTGCGGTTTTGGAAGTAGGCATGTGAATGTTTCTTTCATAAGACAGATTAAGATAAGGACAGGCTGAGAGAGTTGGAGTGTTTAGTCTAGAGAAGAGAAGGCTCTGGGGAGACCTTATAGGAGCCTTCCAGTACCTAAAGGGGGCATACAGGGAAGATGGGGAGGGACACTCTATCAGGGAGTGTAGTCACAGGATGACGGGTAAGGGTAACGGTTTTAAACTGGAAATGGGTAAATTTAGATTAGGTATTGGGAAGCAATTCTTTACTGTAAGGGTGGTGAGACTTCAGTGTTCTCCTGAAAATAAGGAACAATTATGTTTCACTTCAGAAAACATTGACATCTCTAGATGAAATATGCCATCATTGAGGTAATTACAGTGGAAAGCAGTGAGAGTATTTGGAACTAGACTAACATGTGAAATTAGACTGATAATTAGGTATTTTTTCTCTGTGAATTACAGGTTTATTAAAAATGAAGTGAATTCAGTAAATAAGTTGCTGTATCACTTGGTATACATATAAGATTTTCATCTTTTTCCCTTTCCAGTTAAGCTACCAACTTAAGGTGGGTATTATGTACTGCAAAGCTGGGCAAAGCACAGAAGAGGAAATGTATAATAATGAATCAGCAGGTCCAGCCTTTGAAGAATTTCTTCAGCTCTTGGGAGAACGAGTTCGACTCAAGGGATTTGAAAAGTATCGTGCTCAGCTGGATACAAAGAGTAAGGCTTTTTCATTTATTTCTCTTAAGTGAACAAAATACATCATATGTTTGCTAACTGACTCTTTTTATAGAGTTATTAAAAATAACCTCTTTGCTATAGGAAGTCAGTTGCTAAATTGAAAGTAGAGCAAGTATGAAATGTGAACCATACCCATATGGTCTTTCAACTCTGATAATTATTGAATTTTTGTACTAATTTGGTATGAAATTATCACTCAAGCTGCAACAAGAAACCAGGAACTATAGAACCATTATCAGCATTGCAAAACCATCATCAGTGTGTTCTCTAAAGAGTAAGCAATACAGTTGGTATGTCATGTTTTAATCATATGTTAATAGATTGTCACCAGAAAAGTTTTGAGAATGCATCTATGTAACTCCACCTTGACAAGCTGATCTATTGCTTTTCTGCTGTCTGTTGCATGTAGTTTTTCTTCTGAGCAGTTTTGTATTACTCCTGCTATCAAATTTATTCTTCCCTCCCTGATTTTTCTTTTGAATTATGGAAATTAGACTCGATTTGGTAGTTATATTATCAGCTTTGACTGTAAAATATATTGCCAAAAAAATGCAGTGGAAAGATGATCTTGAGTGACAGTATCTATAAAAGAAGCTCCCTACTTTTGGAATCAAGCTTGTGAAATACCTGTTTATCAGCTACATTCAATTTGTAAATCCATTTTAAAATACTTGGGGAAATTCTGGCCTATCTTCCTTTTAATTATTGGAACTAACTACTTCCTATGGAAATCTTTTGCTGTTTTGTTCATTTGCAGCAAAGGAAATTCAATAAAGAGGTGATTAATGAAAGCTGAAATGCATTAATCAACTTAAGTGCAGCAAAAACTGTGCTCTTGTCATGGGCCTCCTATCATAAATACAGTAACCTGCTGTGATTTAGTGCTCCACCATTCTGTGCTGTGTCCTTGATTCTTAGAGGGATCACATTGCTGTCTCCTGAGGATGTTCTTGATCAGCCTAATCATAACTCCTCAGAGGGTTATAAAACTTCCTGTGGTTTTAAACCTAAATTAATATCTATTTCACGCACCTTTACCACTGAACTAGCTTTCTTTTAGTTGCAATACTTGCATTCCTTCTGTTGTATTTACTCCCTTGAGTGCATTTACACATTGCAGTTGTCTCTTCTCTGATTTTGTAATGTTACCCTTAATAAACTAAGTCTCTCTTGGTATGGGAAGCATGGATTTCTCTGCTTCCCCTGCTGCCATGCATGTAGTATTACTTGGTAACCTTCCTCTGCACTCACCCAAGTTTGAATTCAATCTCTTTACTTTTACATTATTCCCAATGAGATCCAGTCAGTTTCTTGCTGTAACATTTGCTTGCCTTTACTGGAAATATATTGTACAATACTTGTGAGGTTAGGTTGTCCTTTTCTGCAGCTCTGAAGTGTTATTGTATCAGTTACAAAAATAAGCTAGGTCAAAAATCAAATGTGTATGGAAAACAGAGAAAATATTATTTCATAGCTTCTGGATTTATATTGTGACCTTGTTACTTGTAGTAAAGTAAAATCCTCTCTTCCCTTCATTCTGGTTTAGTTATGTGAAAAAAACCCACCTTTTTTGGTATCAGTCCACGCACACTGGTTTGTAGTACATGTAAATACTGTATGCTTAAGAGTTGATTCATCTGCTCACATATACCCATGAAATCTCTAACTGTGTCTTAAGTATTTGTTTGAAATTTTCTTCTAAATAGCAGAATTTTACAGTACTGTTTGAATTCCTTCTTGTTGCTCCTGACCCAAGGAAAGAGTTCTGTCAGGTTTTGATTTTATCTGCTACAATCACAGAATCACTGAATGGTCAGGGTTGGAAGGGGGACCTCTGGAGATCATCTAGTCCAACCCCCCTGCTGAAGCAGATTCACCTAGAGCAAGTTGAACAGGGCTGCATCCATGCAGGTTTTAAATATTTCCAGAGAAGGAGACTCCACAACCTCTCTGGGCAACTTATTCCAGTGGTTTGGCACCCTCATAGTAAACAAGTTTTTCCTCATCTTTAAGTGGAACTTCCTGTGTTGCAGTTTGTGCCTGTTGCCCCTTGTCCTATCCCTGGCCACCACTGGAAAGAGTCTGGCCCCATCCTCTTAACACCCGCCCTTTAGATATTTATAAACAATCATCTTTGTAGCCCTCTGTTGGACTCTCTTCAGAAGATCCTTGTCTCTCTTGAACTCGGGGGCCTAGAACTGGACACAATACTCCAGATGCGGCCTCAGCAGGGCAGAGGAGAGGAGGACCAGAACCTCCATCGACCTACTGGTCACACTTTTCTTAATACACCCCAGTATACCATTGGCCTTCTTGGCCACAAGAGTGCATTGTTGGCTCATGGTCAACTGGTAAATACTCCAGATGCGGCCTCAGCAGGGCAGAGGAGAGGAGGACCAGAACCTCCATCGACCTACTGGTCACACTTTTCTTAATACACCCCAGTATACCATTGGCCTTCTTGGCCACAAGAGTGCATTGTTGGCTCATGGTCAACTGGTATTCCACCAGTACTCCCAGGTCCTTCTCTGCAGGGCTGCTTTCCAGCAGGTCAGCTGCCAACCTCTACTGGTGCCTGGGGTTATTCCTCCCCAGGTGCAGGACCCTACACTTGCCCTTACTGAACTTCATCAGGTTCCTCTGCACCCAACTCTCCACTCTCCAGCATATCCAGATCGCGCGGAATGGCAGCACAGCCTTCTAGTGTATCAGCCATTCCACCCAGGTTAGTGTCATCAGCAAACTTGCTGAGAATACACTCAGTCCCTTCATCCAAGTCACTGATAAATATATTAAATAGGACCGGACCAAGTACTGACCCTTGGGGAACACCACTAACCCCAGGCCTCCAAGTAGACTCTGTACCACTGATTAAAACCCTCTGAGCTCTGCCATTGATCCAGTTCTTCACCCACCTCACTGTCCCCTCATCTAACCCACACTTCCTAAGCTTACCTATGAGGATACTATAGGAGACAGTATCAAAAGCCTTGCTGAAGTCAAGGCAGGCAACATCCACTGCTCTCCCCTCATCCACCCAGTCAGTCATGCCATCATAGAAGGCTATCAGATTGGTCAAGTATGATTTCCCCTTAGTGAATCCATGTTGACTATTCCTGATAACCTTCTTTTCCTCTACATGCTTAGAGATGGCCTCCAGAATGAACTCACCATCACCTTCCCAGGAATGGAGGTGAGACTGATTGGCCTGTAGTATTCTGGGTCCTCCTTCTTGCCCTTTTTGAAGACTGGCGTGATACTGGCTTTCTTCCAGTCCTCAGGCACCTCTCTTGTTCTCCGTGACCTTTCAAAGGTGATGGAGAGTGGCTCTGCAATAACACCTGCCAGCTCCCTCGGCACTCGAGGGCCCATAGGTTTGTAGGTGTTGACTCTAGCTAAATGGCCCCTAACATGATCCTCCTTAACCAAGGGGAAGTCTTCCTCTCTCCAGACTTCCTCTCTTACCTCCAAGGCCTGGGATTCCTGAGGGCTGGCAGTAAAGACTGAAATTCAGTAACTCTGCCTTCTCTGCATCCTTCTTCACCAAGGCACCCACCTCCTTCAGCAGTGGCCCCACATTTTCCCTGGTCTTCCTTTTGCTTCTGAGGTACTTGATAAAGCCTTTCTTATTGTCCTTGACATCCCTTGCTAGATTTAATTCCAGGCAGGCCTTGGCCTCCCTTGTTGCATCCCTGCAATACTCTGACAGTGTCCCTATATTCCTTCCAAGTGGCCAGGCCCTTTTTCCACATTTTGCAGACTTACTTCTTCTGACTTGAGTTTTTCCAGAAGTTCCTTGCTCATCCATGCAGGCTTCCTGCCTTCTTTGTTAGATTTCTTACTCTTAAGGATGCAGCGATCTTTAACTTGGAGGAAGTGTTGCTTGAATATTAACCAGCTCTCTTGGGCCCCCCTACCCTCTAGAGCCGTAGCCCATGGGATTCCTCCAAGCAGGTCTTTGAAGAGGCCAAAGTTAGCCCTCCGGAAGTCCAGGGTTCTGATCCTGCTTATTGCCTTGTTTCCCCTGTACAGGATCCTGAACTCCACTATCTTGTGTTCACTGCAGCCAAGGATGCCGCCAACCTTCACATCCCGAACCAGACTTTCATTGTTAGTTAGTACCAGGTCCATCAGCACTCCTCTCTTCGTGGGTTCCTCCATCAGCTGTGTTAAAAAGTTGTCATCAATGATCTGGAGGAATCTCCTGGACTGTGCTTGCCTAGCAATGTTGCTCTTCCAGCAAATGTCAGGGTAGTTGAAGTCTCCCATGAGAACTAGGGCTTGTGAGTGTGAGGCTACTTTCAGCTGCTGGTAGAATGCCTCATTGACTTCCTCATCCTGATCAGGTGGCCTGTAGTAAGCCCCAACTACAGTGTCACCCATATTAGCCTGACCCTTGATTCTTACCCATAAGCTGTCAACTTGTTCTTCATCCTCCCCTAGGCAGAGCTCAATACATTCCAATTGCTCTCTCATATAAAGAGCAGATCCACCACCCTGCCTCAATGGCCTGTCTTTCCTAAAGAAAGAGCACATAGCCATCCATGACTGCATTCCAGTCATGTGAGCTATCCCACCATGTCTCTATAAATCACAATTAAATTGTGGCCCTGCGACCACACACAGATCTCTAGTTCTTCCTGTTTATTTCCCATGCTGTGTGCATTGGTTTACGCACATTTCAGTGGGGTAGTTGAGCATGGAGGTTTCAGGCTTATTCCCCAGTTGGATGTGATGGTGTGACTGTTGCCATTTTGGACCCCAGCCCCCGAGCCCTTCAGTTTAAAGCCTGCCTCACCAGATTGGCTGGCATGCTACCCTTACCTCTTCCAGACGGGTGAACTCCATCACTCTCAAACAGGTTGTAAACAAAGAACCTGACATTATCATAAAAGCCAAAACCCTCATGATGACACAAGCCATGTAGCCAGGAGTTCATCTGTAATATATGTTTGTTTCTGGACCCTTTCCTCTAACTG